AACCCTGCTTTACTGCCTGCTGCAATGCCCAGAGGCAGCCTATGTGTGGGAAGTAGCCAGTAGCCAGGGAACTGTGGCGAAAGAGATTTCAGATGAGGCCTTTCCGGAAGACAGGAGGATCCTCCTCACTGGTATGGAGCTTCCAAAGAAATGGCAACTGGGACAAAAGGGAGGATTTCAACTTTTGAGACAATATACATTATGGACCATATGGAAAAGAAGATGTCAGATGACAATAGGAAGGGGGCAAATGCACAGACTGGAGGCCAAGAAAGTTCTACACAATCTGCTGGAGACGGATATCACGGCACAAGGGCAAAGAGCAAGAAGGCAAGCTCAACAAAACCCGGAGAAAGCCCGGGAGTCGTTCAAAATGTTTCAACGGGTTACGTTGGTTAAGGGTAAGGTAGCAGCAATCGAAGGATTCAGAGTAGTCTTTCACTGGTTTGACAATATGGAGCAACGTGAGCAAGAATAGTGCGTCAGATTCTCTGAGGTAGTACATCAAAATCATGTCAGCATTACAGCTGAGGGTTTAGGGTTCAGGGTTTAAGGTTTAGGTAGGAGCAATGCAAACAGGGCTTGAGGAGTCACAGATTTCGGGAGGGGTCCTGGGCGACTCTAGTTAGAACACAATCAACTGACAGTTACAATACTGAGAGGAGTCCAACTGGGATCACAGGGATGATGGAAGGAATAAAAACTCAGGCGTACTTAAGCAGGGGTGAGGGATGGTACATCCTTCCTTATGGAGGTAATCAATGCCGTCCACTTGGGCCTCCCAGCCATAATGGGGAGGAGCGTGCGTTAGTTTCTTGTGTATCTATTATTGACTTGCCGGGGGTAAGGAACCGGACTGTCGCTCCCCAGAATGGTAGGAGCCAGAGCCAAAAGGTTCTGTTTTTTTTTTTTATAAAAAAAGAGAGAAACCAAGCATCATCATACACATGTAACCAGATAGTCGTGACCTCGAACCAAAAGCAGAATCGCAACACGAGTTCCACCAAATAAGAGCACAGCAAAAGCTCACAAGTGACAATGTTGGAATAGTCTCATCATCATCAACAATCAACCAATGTTGACATCCTATCTGGCGCTCAGTGCCCAGACTACAAATGGCAGATCCTATCTAGCCTATCTACAATGCCGCTGGTGACGTCAACAGCTCCCCGAAGAACGAGCAGATCTCGGCCAATGCCGTTCACCTCAAGCGACAGGTATGTCTGTCCTATCACTCACAACCTCGATCCCCCACTCACAGATGCCACATGCACCCAAGGACCACCATGCGCCCCATCCAGCATAGTGCAGCGCAGCTCGGCTATGGCTGTCTGCTCATCCAGCTCGCCCGTGAGCGCGTGGGCTCTGGCCAGCGTTTAGCGCAGCATGCAGCCAGTGCCCCAATGCTGAATCTGGAGGCAGTCCCTTTCCTAAATGGAAGTGGCCTGCCTGCTGCGTGCCGCAAGGCTGCACTGGGCCCCGACCGAAAAGCTTCCGGTAGGGCCCGAGAGGCTAAGCCTCAGTCCAGACGAATCAGGCCCAGGGCCTGTGGTGGTTACCCGTGCCCAACTGCCCGCAGCCTGTGTTCGGTCTATGTTGTGTATCTGGCCCAGGGCCTGCCTCAGTTACATACGATAAATGCAGCCTGGGCCTGGGCACTTTCAACCAACTGGCGCTGCGCAACTGCCTGAATTTTCCCCAGTTGCATGGTAGTCCAAAGTAGGCCTAGGTCGGGCCTGCCTTCACTTAGGGCGGCCGGCCTTGCTGATAACAGGGCCCAGTAGGGCTTACCGAGGCCTTGTGCCTCACACTTTGTTTGTGCCGGCCTTATGTCCTTGCTGCAGCTGCCAAACAAATTTGGATCTTTCCAAACCAGTATCTATGTGCTTGTTGGACACAGTCTCCTCGCGATGCAGCTGAAGTTTTCACGGACTTTCCTGGGACTGAGCTGCATGTCGGGCCTGACAAACTGACTGCTACAGACAAGGAATGACGTCAGTCTACTGGGCTCTAGGACCATCCGTCTGACTTGATGAATCTATAGGGTCTACCACATCCTTTCTACCTGTGGAGACCTATGTTAGATGGGCTCTCGGACAAGAAACTTTGGGCCGGGACTGGGAGGTGCGTGAAATCCTTTCAGTACTCCCTTCTGAAAAGAGAAAAAGTTGAGAAAAAAAGAAGGAAAACAAAGAAGGGAAAACAAAGAAGGAAAAAAAGAAGGAAAAAAAAGAAGGAAAACAAAAAGGAAAAAAAAGAAGGAAAAAAAAGAAGGAAAAAAAAGGAGGAAAAAAAAGAAGGAAAAAAAAGAAGGAAAAAAGAAGGGAAAAAAAGAAGAAAAAAGAAGAAAAAAGAAGAAAAAAGAAGAAGCAGAAATCAAAGGCGAGAACGAAGTCAAGAATCAGCAAGACACATAGGCAGGAGGGCAGAGGGCAGCGTCTGGCAAACAACAGGGGAAGCAATGACGCAACATGACAAGCAGCAGCAAGGCTGACAAGCAGAAAGGAGAGCCCTAAGGGAAGCAACAAGGCACGTAAGTGAGCAGTAACGAGGGAGACCTGTGGAAGGGCACAGAGCAAACAGCAAGACAACACGGCAAGCAGCTGCAAGGCATGCAAATGAGAGGGTATGGATGTGGGCGAGCAGGTAAACGGTAAGGCAAGCAGCAAAGCGACACCTCAAGCTGTAGCAAAGCAGATGGGAGGAAAGGGTAGGTGGCACAGCAAGCATGAAGAGAACAAGGCCGGGAGCAGCACATGCCAAAAGGCACAGGGGGGAGCGAGCAGGCGATGGTAAGACAGCAAAGCACAACAGCAAGCAGCAGGAAGGCCCACAGGCAGAGGGGGCGGGGTTGGGTGGGAGGGTACGTGGGTAAACGACATGGAAGCAGGCACACAGAAGGCCAGGAGAGCGGACAGCACAACAAGTGCCAAAGCAACAAAGCAGGCAGTAGTGCTGGCAACAAGACAGCACGGCAGCATCAACATACCAACCCACACACATGCAGCAAGAGATCAGAGTGGACTATGACCTACTCACACCATGTGGAATACTCTGCAGACTGCCGGTTCACGCCACTCTCAAGAACCAGCGAACCGCAAGACAAATAGCTGCCAGCACCAGGAAACAGAGACATATGAGCTCATCAACTCCTAATTGTACAAAAGGCACTTCTTCCAGCAGCTGGCTTTTAAGCACATCTCGACGGAGGTCGTTGCATGCAGAAGACAGAAACAGAACAAAGAGAATGTTGCAAGGACACACACAAGACACGGAAACAACAATTATTATGCGCGTGTGTGTGTGTGTGTGTGTGTGTGTGTGTGTGTGTGTGTGTGTG